AAAAATAGCAAACATATTATTTTAGACTCATATTTTAGATTGATAATTATGCTTCATCGTTAAATATGATAACGATTGATGGTTCCTATCTCGAAGGAGTACGTATGATCTTACTCACTAGAACGAATGTAAATTACACGATTGCTTTGTTTTTGGTTAATTGCTATGATTTAACAGTCATAAGACTCAGCATGCGCTCTCTGTCATATGTTATGCTCCCTCTGTGTTGCTTGTGTTCCATAGATATATTAGAGCCCTCATATCTCAGTTGAATATGTTTTTTTTCTGTATAAAAGATATACTTCTCTCTGGTGTTAAGAGTACAAATAATTAAGACTAAGGATGTGTGAGGGTTTTCGAGCATTTGGGATATATAAAATAAATTTTCTTTGCTTCTTTCGTTGATCACTGTGCATGTTCGTGGGTTTCAATTTCAGGATCACAAATCGAGTGTTTAAGAACCAGGAACTACACACGAATGTCCATCCTTTAGAATATAGTATGTGGTTCTGTGTGCCTCAGAACGGAACAGAAAACTGATATTCCTGCGGAGGATTCATTCGTACTGGTTATATTTTAAAAAAAATATATATACTTTGTATCTTTGATCCAGTAAGAGATATACACTTGACACTATATACATAAAGATTGCTTCTATGAATTATTACAGCTAGAGTCCCTCTAGACGAACTCTTTCGTGTCTCGAATCTCGTTGATTGAAAGGTGGTTGACTGTACAAAGAGCGACAATTCACCTATTGCGTTTTACTCGTTTAGTTATGAAAAATCAATATGTACATTTGAAGTTCGTCTTTTAAAAACTTGATTCTGCTCGAAGGCTATCAAAATGTGGAAAGCGATCATTAATATTTCAGATGCTGTATGTAATAGTTTCCTTATATGACAGCAATTAGTTCAAATTAATTATTTCTGAACTTGTTAGGTGAGCTAAGATGTCTGAAGGCGACTGAAATTCATTATGATTTCCTGTGCGGACGTCTAATATTCAAACATAGCAGATGTCATATAGAATCGTATTCTGACATTTTTTCGACTCGTGCAGTCAGTCCTTTTTCTACTTGAGGAACAGTCGAGTTGTTGTTTTTCTGTTATACATTTAAATATTTTGGATATTCACTAGAAATAAAAACTTTGAGACATTGACTTTTCTGTATTGTTCTATATCTTGTTTGTCTCGTCCAGAAATTTTTAGTACTGTTCTGTAGAACTTTAATTACAACACAAATAATTTTATAATAGAAGGTGCGGCGAAACAACTTCTTTCACAAAACAAATAAATTGCCGAACATTTTTGATTTTTAATGACCAAGCTTTTAAGAGTATCGATATTTTTATAATTAATTATTTTTAGTTTTGTTCAATTTAAAATCTGAAATGCTAAACGCTATTTTAAAATAACATATATTATGTTAGATGATGTAAGACTACCGTGTCGCTTGATGTCGAGGTTAATCGAGCTCCGATTGTTTTTTTACAACAAAGGTTTATTTCACTAGACTCATGTTCAAAATTGGAAAATAAAATTGTTTATTTTGTTCGATAATTTTCTTTTAAAAGGGTGGTCAAATATTGCGAAATGCTACAACATTGAGTGTTATATTGAACATTCCTGTTCGAGTTAAAAATATTCGAGCAGGAAGATCACAAGGTGGATTACGACCACAACATTTAACTAGCATTCAACTTTTAGCAGAATTTTCTGAAGCAAAACTTGATCATGCAAATATTGGTACAACAGATATTCAATTTACACCAAAAACAATTAAAGGTGGAAATTATGTAGGTGATACAAAAACAGCTGGGTAAGCCTTTTCTATTTAAATCAAGAGTAGAAAAAATAATAATAAAGAAGATTTTTATTTATAAGGAGTATATGTTTAATGATGCAAACTGCTATTCCATGTTTACTTTTTGCTAATGGACCATCTGAATTGAAATTACTAGGAGGTACAAATACTGAATTTGCACCCGATATTGATTATTATAAACTTGTAATATACATCTTTTTTTTAATTTTTATCAATAGTAAATTTCTTTGCTTTTCTTTGTCAATAGGTGTTTCAACCAATAGCCAAACGATTTAATTTTAATTTTGATTTAAATATAATGCGAAGGTTTGCAAAATTGAAGAGTTTCATAATATTAATAATTTATAGATTTTTATAGAGGTTATTATCCGAAAGGTGGAGGTGATGTGAGAATCAGTATTAATCCAATTGATCATCTAACAGCTATTGATCTAACTGATTTTGGACAGATCAAAAGATTTTTTGGTCGATCTTTTGTTGCTGGTAATCTTCCCAAACAGGTATTATGATCTATTTTTTTTTCAGATAATAAATTCATTTTGTTTAAATATATTTAGATTGCTGATAAAATGGCTGAAGCAGCTAAAAATTTAATACATAAACACTATTCAACAGAAATTCCGATAGAAATTGAAGTTGTTCAAGAACCGAATAATATAGCTATTGGAACAGCTAGTGGTATCATGTAAGAAAACATGCATAGAAAATAGATGGTGAAGAAGCTTCTGCATTAATTTTTGTTTTTGATATAGCGTTACAATAACATGTCGTAGAGACTTCACCTTTTTTTCTTTTATTAGAAACAGCAAGGTGTTTAGTGCGCTAATGTATAAACAAATTTTATGGAAAATGTTTTTCCACGGTCAGAAAACTTTTTCACAATTCGTTTCAATTTAGTGAAGGCATCAGTTTATAAGAAACGCGTTTTAATTCTTTTATCCAAGTTTTATAACGTAACAATAGGTGGTTATTCCTACATGACGAAAAAATAAATATTTTACGTTTTTGACATCCACCGATATGAACTAGAGCTGTCAACAGGCTACTTTTTTTTCGGTCTAGCTTACACGGCAAACCACGTCGATTGATGTCTTGTTTTTTTTAAATCCACTTAGTTCTGTAGTCTTATTATAATATTCTAATCGAAAGTGACTAGCGCACCCTACACATTGTTCAAACGACGAAAGCTCATCAGGCCCAGATTCGGCATCAACTCGATAGGCTTTAGTGTGTGCGACATGCTGAAGAGAAGCTTATCGAGTATGCTATTAAATATTATTATCTGACAGACGATACAACTTGTCTATGAGATATTCAAGTAACACTTTGTTTTCGCATTATAAATCTCTAATTGAATTTTGAATCAAATTGTCTGTTGTTTATTCTCTTGTACGATAGATCAGTTATTTTAATTCTACACAAAAAATCAATAATAAAAAAAAAAAAAAAAAAAAAAATTTTATAAAAAAAAAATTTTTGAGGCTATTAACGGAAATTTTTTTTTTTGAAACAAATCTGAAATCCTCACTGAAGTGTCATATTTTGTTTCAAACCGGTAAAGATTCCATCTTAGCCTGACAAATTTTGTTCTATGTTTTTTCGGATGCTTGAAAATCATATTTGATCAGATTCGTTTGTACAAATTTGCACTAGAAATTTCACTATTTCTAACTAAAAGAGAATGAGTTCTCTACGATATTGTATTGCAACTGTATATCAAAAATAAAATTAATGTAGAATATTTGTTCGATCTCTCGAATTAATCTTTGCTATCAGACGAACTAAAATCATTTTCATAGGATTGGTGCAGAAACAACGACAGGTTGTTTACTTGCAGCAAATGCATTAGGTAAACGAGATATATCACCATCGGATGTTGGAATACAAGCAACAGAAGAATTACTCAAAGATTTATCTCATGAAGCATGTGTTGATCGATATTTAGAAGATCAAGTTAGTGATTTAGTTCTTTTAAATAGAGATATTTAAATTAGTTTTCTTATATTAATAGTTAATTCTTTTAATGGCTCTTGCTAAAGGTCATTCAAAAATTCGATGTGGACCATTATCTGATCGTACTAAGACAGCAATTTATGTTGTTGAACATTTAACTAACGTTTGTTTTATTTCAAAAAATGTTTATCAAATATTTTTTTTGTTGTTTGTTACTATACGTTAAATTCAAAATTATTGAAATTCCATCATCAAAAACAGACGATAAATCGCATTTAACAACACTACAAGCATCAACATCTTCATTGAATATATCAAATTCTACAACTATTATTGAATGTGAAGGTTTAGGATATCA